TCCACTGGGTCTACAAGAGTTACAACATCTATCCAATCCAAGAATGCTGGATCACAGCCACCCTTAGTCACTCAGTAATCCCAATAACCCGATCTACTGCCTTTACTATTTGTTAATCGATTGATGAGGTATGTAAGAGACTTTCAACACTGACTGATTTGATCACGGAAAAAAAACACACAAATACTTTTGTTTCTACTTGGAAACCACTTTGTGCTTGAGGTTAAAAAAAATGAAACTTTGATTTGGGGTTTTACCAATTAGATAAGATTTATTGTTATAGAAATAACTAGTTTAAACTAATACGTAAAAGTAAAAAATTGTGGTTTGATGTTACTACCCTATTCTACTGCACCAAAGGGAATCGGAAGTCAATGCCTTTTCTTTCTTCTTCCCCCTCTGTTCCATACTTTTCCCTTCCCTATTTTTCCTACTATTTGCTTTTGTATTTTTTTTGGTATGGTATATTATAAACCAATAAAATTGCTTAAATAAAAAAAAAATCTTAAAATGTTGATCCATGATGTTATTTTTATTCTAAAGATATAGGATAGAACTGTCTCTAAAATGACAGTGATTTTCAATGACTGGGCTTCAAGGACTTGCATATGACAACTCCCAATTTCTAAAGGCATGTCGGCCAACAGTGTTTTAAGTTCTTGGGTTGGCATTACATGTAGGCTTAAAGGAAATCTTTCATAATGCCTGGGTATTTGCGGGACCGCCTTCTGCCGCCGATAGCCTCCCACCGGCCAATACGCTCCCACAGAGAGGGTCTCCTCAGGGTGCCGTCAGCCAGGCAGTGTCGGCTGGTGACCCTCAGGAGGAGGGCCTTCTCTGTGGCAGCACCTGCCTCTGGGACGATTTGCCCCCGGAGATACGCATGATACCAGATCTCCGGGCTTTTCGCCGTGCCCTAAAAACTTTTCTTTTCCACCAAGCAGGGCTGGAGTAATCCCCCCCCCTTTTGAGATGTTAGATTTTTAATTATCTATGGGTTTTAGTTGGGATGTTTTAAATTTTGGGCCAAAGTTGTGTAATTCTTTTTAAAAATTTAAATTTTGTATTGGGATGTTTTTTATTTTGGCTGTGCACTGCCCTGAATCCAGTAGGAGAAGGGCGGTATACAAATTTAATAAAATAAATAAATAAAATAAATAATGTCTGGATGTAGAAATTTAAAGTCAGGCTGTGCAACTCACACTAATTGGTATTTGCTGTGTCAATCAGCAAAGTACAAAGCATCCTAGGTTTTTGGATTATCTCCCTGAATTAAGAACTAGTTTGATGTTCTCCAAATTCCAAATTGACCCATCTGCAGCATGCACACTGGGTCATCCATTTGTCACCATTCAGAAAATCCTGTGTGATACCAGAGAGGAAGAAACTGGATCCAGAGAAAACAGTTTAATAGAGGTGAAGCTGTTAATTGCAAACCTTCAAAAGGAGCACTTCTATATCCTATGCTGCTAGTTGTCTCAAAGAAAAAGCAAGCTTAACCAACCAATACATTATTTTCTAGCACCGATTGAAATTGGATGTTGAAATTAGAGAAATGAAATTGCTACCTGAAGTTCATTAGGTTTTCTCTTGGTGTTTCTTTCCTTAACATATAAAGGTATTTTCATCTCGATGACCTTTCAATAGGTAATGTCTCTAATTTTAAGAGGTAATATCTTTCCTTTCAGCTGCATTCTTTATTGCTTTTAGTTCTGCAAAAATGTCTACTAATTCTATAATATATATTTGAGGGGCTGCCACAGAAAGGAGGGTGTCAAGCTATTTTCCAAAGCACCTGAAGACCAGACAAGGAATAATGGATGGAAACTGAACAAGGAGAGTTTCAATCTGGAAATAAGAAGAAATTTTCTGACAGTGAGAGCAATCAACAATGGAACAGATTGCCCTCAGAAGTTGTGGGAGCTTCATCACTGGAAGCTTTCAAGAAGAGACTGGACTGCCATCTGTCAAAAATGGTGTAGAGTCTGCTTGGGTGGGTGGGTGGGGGTTGGACTAGATGACCTACAAGGTCCCTTCCAACTCTATTAATTTGTAAATGTAGTTTTATGATTAGGCGAAATGGAGCAATGGGAGCTTCCAGTGACAGTAGCAGAACATCTGTTCTTGTTCTGATCTTGATCCCAAAGGTGTTTTTCCAAGAGGCAACTGGACTTCAGCTCTGAGCTGAAGAAGCTTCTTGGATGAGAAGCGAAATATCTTCAAAGAAAAACAAAAAAGCATGACCTGGATGACTGAGAATCTTCATAGACATTCTGATGTCTTCATAGACATTCTATTTTTATTTCTTCGTGCAAAAGAACAGAACAGAGGACGCAGAAGCTGAGAATGGGTATGCAAGCTGTACCTCTTGAGCTTGAAAAATTGAAAAAAACTTTTTTCCTTGGACTTGAGAAAGAAAATATTCAATAGCCATTTTATTTTCTTAATCAAACATAACTGGCACGCAGAGAGGGAAATAGCAGCAGATGCTCTTCCTAAAACCACTTGGATTAATTTCCAAAATTAAGTTGCAATTTTCCCTTGGTGGGGGCAGAAGTTCTGAGATAATGGCTGGATTAATTTGAAATAAATTTGAATGAGTTTATGCGGCTCTGTTTTTTTTCTTTGCAAAATTCTCTGTGATAGTATGCACTGCAGCAATGAAGAAACGTTGGTTTTGCCAGATTTAATAGAGTTTTATTTTTCATCTTTATTTTTATTTTTTTTATTTTTTATTTGATTTATATGCCGCCCTTCTCCGGAGACTCAGGGCAGCTTACAATGCGTTAAGCAATAGCCTTCATCCTTTTGTATATTTATACAAAGTCAGCTTATTGCCCCCACAACTGGGTCCTCATTTAACCTACCTTAGAAAGGATGGAAGGCTGAGTCAACCTTGAGCCTGGTAAGATTCGAACCTGCAGAAATTGCAGGCAGCTGTGTTAATTGATTAATTAATTAATTAATTAATCTTGATTGCTTCTTTTAGCTATATTTTAAAGCAGCTTAAAATGTATCTTGAAAGGCAGTTAATAAAGAATCCAAATTAATTACTATGTAATGTAAGGTAAAATAAAGGCTCTGTTACATCTTTCCCTACTTAGTGGCTTTTAGTTGTGCTGAATCAACTCTTTTAATCTTCCTTCCTTCCTTCCTTCTTCCTTCCTTCCTTCCTTCCTTCCTTCCTTCCTTCCTTCCTTCCTTCCTTCCTTCCTTCCTTCCTCCCTCCCTCCCTCCCTCCCTCCCTCCCTCCCTCCCTCCTGGAGACATAATACCCTTGATTTGCAACCATTTGCTTAGTGACTGTTCAAAGTTAACACAGCACTGAGAAAAGTGACTTACAACCATTTTTCTCACTTATGATCAATGCAGCATCCCATGGTTACATTATCAGAATTTGGGCGCCTGGCAATTGGCATGTATTTATGATGGTTGCAGTGTCCTGGGATCATGTACTGATCACCATTTGTAACCTTCCTAACTGGCTGCCAACAATGGGGGATTCACTTAATGACTGCATGAGTCCCTTAATAGCTGCAGTGATTCGTTTAACAACTGTGGGAAAAAGATTATAAAATGAGGTGCAATTCACTTAACAACTGCCTCAGTTGAGGTGGTAAGTCATGGAGTACCCGTACGCCATCCAACTACATCCAATTTATTTATTTGTTTCCATTTCTATACCGTCCTTCTCCAAATAGGACTCAGGGCGGTGAACAGCCAAAGTAAAAAACAAAACATACAAAAATTTAAAAACAGTTTAAAATAATTAAATATTTTGGCCGTAAATTAAAACAACCCAATTTAAAATCAATTTAAAATTTAACTCAAGCCAGCCCAGCTAGTTGAAATAAATAGGTTTTCAGGGCCCGATGAAAAATCCGGAGGTCTGTTATTATACGTATCTCTGGGGGGAGGTTGTTCCAGAGGGTGGGCGCCATCACAGAGAAGGCTCTCCCCCTGGGGGTCGCCAGCCGACATTGTCTGGCGGACGGCACCCTGAGGAGGCCCACTCTGTGCGAGCGTACTGGCCGGTGGGAGGCTATTGGTGGCAGAAGGCGGTCTCGTAAGTAAGCACCACATAAAACCCCAGTCATAGCTCTTCAATTCTTGGATGTTTGGATCTTTCCCTCATGACTTTCAAACAGTTCTTCTTGCTTTCTATTTTCTTTCTCATTCTGGATCCCCCTCTATCCAGTTTTTTTAACTTCTCTAAGTCACATAAGAGCCATGGTGATGCAGTGGTTAGAATGCAGTATTGCAGGCTAATATTGCTGCAGGCTAATTCTGCCGATTGCCAGTAGTTCGATTCTCAGTAGCTCAAGGTTGTCTCAGCCTTCCATCCTTCTGAGGTCAGTAAAATGAGGACCCAGATTATTGGGGGCAATATGCTGACTCTGTAAACTGCTTAGAAAGAGCTGTAAAGCACTATAAGATGGTAAATAAGTCTAAGTGCTATTGCTATTGCTATACGCGCTCCAAATATTTTCGTTCTGCCAACTATAACCTCCTCCTCTTTATCACGCAGCATTAATAAGTAGGGCAGACTTTACTATAAGGCACCCTCTTCAGGTAGTAGCTGTTGGAGATCAACAATGACTACCTATCAAATTCACCTAAGCTCCCTAAGTGTTCTCCTCTGTAGCATAAAGGTAGGCCCCAACAGACAACCATTCATTTAGTGACATTTCAAAGTTACAACAGTACTGAAAAAAGTGACCTCTGACCATTTTTCACACTTACGACTGTTGTAGCATCCCTATGACCAACATTTGGACACTGGGCAACTAGTTCATATTTATGTTACAGTGTCCCGATCCCCTTATGTGACCTCCTGACAAGCAGAGTCAATAGGGAAGTGAGATTCCTTTAACAACCGTGTTACTAACTTAACAACTGCAGTGAGATTCACTTAACAACCGGGTCAGGGAATAACAAGGAAAAATTCCCAGGATGCTTCAAGTTATTCCAACTCTTTAAGTGTCAGCAAACCAACTTACAGTAAATGAGAGGAAAGAAGAAAACAAGGTCCCTTCATCATATCTTGATAGCTTGGCCAGCACACCTTCCAGGATGGTGACAAACTGGAAAAAAAAGGAAAAAGGAAAATTTCAAGCAGAGAAAACAGAAATAAATCCCAAATAAGAAGTGTTCTGTCTCATCTTGCGCGTGCATGCATACACACACACACACACACACACACACACACACGACAAGAAGCTCTTCTTCATCAAATCATGACAGCTGAGGAAGCTGACTATTGGTGTAAATGGGATTTTATAACTCTATCCTCAGTCTTCTAAATAGGACAATTGCTCAAATGGATGTTAACTGATACACTGAGATTAAAAAAAACAACACCCCAACCTCATTTTCTAATTAATAGAGTAATCAGTTTCAAAAGAGAAGCCAAGATTTCCTTATTAAAGGAATTTATTCATTATTCTGGCATTTAATGCTGTTATTACTTAAGATTATTTAATTGACCTTCAATAATACTTTCATAAAATTAGGAATGACTTCATAAAATGAACAAGGGACAGTCCAATCCCAGGTTTCTTGGCATCAGTTCAAGCGCACATAGATTAACTCTTACTACAAACAGACTTTGAAGAAGACAATGTGGGGCATTTATAATACATATTAGTTTATGTGATTTATACTTATAAACAAAGTAAATAACATTTTTTAAAACTTTAAAGCAAAACATTGATGTAAATAAATAGGCTTGTCAAGACCGATTATTATACCTGGAAGTATAAGAATTTTATAAGCAATGGTTTTTCCCAGTAACAATTCCTGATTGGAATTAGAATTAGTATATGAGGGGTCCTTGGTGCTCTCTGAGCTTGGTTGTTTCAAGGACCCCGCAGTTCAACCTGAGCTACAAATATTCTTCTTTATTGGTAGAATTAGCATACGTATATTACATATATATTAGTATTACTGATATAACACCTGCCTTCTGCTCTACAGATAGTTGTAGTAGCCTTATATATGTTGTTTTCCTAGAACCTTTTAACCTTTTTCTCCCAAATGACTTCCATTAAGTGCAGCCACAGTATTCCAATGTATTGGCAGAATTTATAAACTTGCATTAATGCCACAGATACTGTATGGCAAATGTTTAGGTCTGAATTATGGGGGTATTCAAGCATTCCTCTTTGATGGCTTTAATAAATGTATTAAAGATTCACAAGGAGTATAAAGAATGCTTTGTTTTAGAATATTTTAGCATTTACACCAGGCCCATTTCCTCTTGTGACAGGATGAAATTTCTGATGGAATTACCAAGTACTTGGGGATGAGGAGGAACAAAAGAGGAACAAAAATTATACATATATCACAAAATAGTCCAAGCCAATAAAATATACATACACTACAATACACTAGAATATATTCTCTAAATCCATTCAATAAAAAGATACACTAAATCTTAAAAATCATAAATAATATTTTGAAAGCCACTAGTAGTTGATGTTGAGAAAATGGATGAGATGCCCAAAGAGGTGAGATCTACAACTTGTCAAATTTATTTATTTATTATTTCAATTTATGTACCTCCCCATTTCAAATATATGACTCTCTATGGCTCACAATTTCTATTGATTTTTCTGGATGACTGAATCAGTCTAAAATTAACTCTATGATTAACAAATGTCTTCTTATGGGAAGGGATTTTTTTCCCCATCTCACTTAAAGGAAGTAGTAAGGAAAGCAAACTTCCCTAAGCAAAAACTAAGCAAATACTGTTGCTAAAGTTTTTTTTTAAAACAGACCTCACAACTACAGAATCCAAGCATAAAAATACTGACAATAAATGTGAATAAAGTCAGCAACACTGCCTCAAGAACTACAGTATTTGGGGGAAAAAAATCTCAAATAAAACTTCTTCCAGAATTGTAAAATGTCTACAATTATGAGACGTTCAATCTATCAAAACTAAGTGGCATTAGATTTATTTCATGACAAACAACAAATCACCTAATTGTCTTAATGTGTCACATTTGGATGGGAATGTGTGTATTCCCTTTAAAGGATAATATTAACCATGGAGCCCTTCCTCTGAGGTTCAACGTTACCTTTGCTACAAGGAGTGTGATCATTTCTTTGACGGTTTCTTCAATTAGTTCATCTATTTTTGAATGGTACTGGTGCTATGGATGGAAGAAGAATGGAAGTAAAATATTATTAGTCTAAATCAATTGCAATACACACAGCTATTTACTTTTACTGCAGATATTGACTATGGTACTTGAATGTTGATTAACATGTGTTCTAATGTAGTGGCCAGTAATGAATTAACATATACACAATGCCTTTGACTAAGGAGCCTCTGACGGGAATTTGTGAATGTTGGTCAAATCCTAATTTTGACTCCGTGCATGCAGCTGAGTCAACATTAAGGAGAATCAAATGCATGCAGGATAAACGTCTAGCATCTCTTTGCTATACGTAAATCATGAAAATAAGAGAGCGCCAGCGGTAAAAGAGCACATTACATCTGTTGTTTACAGTTTACGGTTAAGATGCTCATTCTTTAAGTCTGAAATAACAACTTGAAATACAGCTCAACACTGGCTAGCACAATGACAACTGTTTTGGGGCACAGACCAAAGCTGTTATCAGTCAGAGGAAACCTATAGATGAGTGACATTGAAGCAGAGAAGCTTCAGTATGTGGAGCCATTGAGTATGAACGACCGGAAGCGGACTTTCGGTTTTAGAATCCACCTTTGGAAAAGAAATTAGATAAGTACATAGCATTCCAATTCATGTGCTGGTTAAGCACTCGAGCGAATTGGGGCCTTTATGATCAAGTGTAACAATGATTGAAACATGGGTGTTCTGAGTCATGCAAAAGATGGCAAGTGCAGTACTGGGACCCCTCCAGTTAGGTCATGCTGGGGCCTTCGGTCAATGCCAACTCATAGAAAAGATTGACACCAACAAAACATCCACGTCACTTTCTACACAGAATTCCTCCACCCCCTCCGTTCCTCCACCCAAATACTGACCAGATCAAACTTACTTTGTTCTGAGTTGTTTTCAAGGAAGATAAGAACATTTTCAGCTAATTTGTAATAAACACACTTCCTTTTTTCTTCAAAAAAAATAAAGTCTTTGGGTGACTAAACAAACACTATTCTTTTGTTTTGCCAAGAACAGACAAAATATTTAATATACGATGATTTTCTTCCACATCGCCTCTCCCCCACATTAAATAAAACATTGAAAGTGCTGATCTTAGTCACTGTATTTATTGCCACTTGTTTGTGCTAATGTTATTTTAAAATGTTAATATACAAGCAAAAAGAAATCTAAAATACAAAAAAAAAAAAATCAAATCAAAACAAAACAAAACAAAAAAGCATTAGAATAGACAGATCTGAGGTAAATACTGAATTGCGCTTTAGGGAACAAAGGAGTGTGAGGGGCAATTAGATGTGTCAGACCTTGGTCCCTTAGCATTGACTAAAGTTCCTTTGCTAGTTTGAGCTGCTCAGTGTTTGCTTTTTTTTTTTTTCAATGGAACAGTCACATTCTACAACAGGAACTTGGAAGAAAAGAAAACAAAATGTAAGGACACACTTACCCACTCTTTAGCAAACTTTCAGATGATTGGGGACAGAAATAAAGAGGAAGGTGCAGAAGACAGGAAAAAGAACATATGAAGGTAAACAATAAATAAAAACAAAACCTTCAAAAGAATGGGACCGTATAAACAGGGGGGCTATGAAAATGCAGCAGCATGCACAGAAACAATAAGCAACAGGAAATGAAATTATGAATAAATTCCCTTTTTCCTGAAATACCAGAGAGATTGCTACTGGAGAGAATCGCGCAGAGATTCAAAAAGGGATTTTGAAAAAGGAACAGGACACATACATAGAACATCCTAGTGAGACAGAGAAATATCATTTTGTTACAATTGGAAACAAACAAATAAACAAAAAAAAAAAGACCATATGAACAGTTCAGTGGTGTGGCAGCTGATTTTTTGAGTTTCAATGGGCAGATTTATTAAGCTCTCTTGCTCACTGGATTTTACGATAATGACTCTTGGAAAGAGCGATGCTCCCAAAATGAAAGGAGCTTTCCTGACTGACTTTGTACTTCAGAATCAAATTGGTTCTTGGCTGTTCTAGTTACCAGCTTTAATTAACATTTAAGTCACCATCATAATGTCATCTTACACCAATTGAGTTCACTCTATCGTTAGATTAATAGTTTAGTTGTTTTTAGGGATTTGGTAGCTTATCTGACGCATAATCTCCAGATCTGAGATATGGCTAAAGGAAAGAAACTTTCTGTTCAAATGGGATGCAGAACACCCAATGCCATCCTTTCACTGATGGCCCCTTCAAGCTTTATAAAACCACACAATTGGGATGAAAAAGAGGGCAGATGTATCAAATGTCCAAGGCTACCTTTTGGGCTGTATCTATAGTGGGCCTGTCCAACCTTGGCAACATTAAGACTTGTGGACTTCAACTCTCAGAATTCTAGGAGTTGGCTGGCTGTGGAATTCTGGATGTTGAAGTCCACAGGCCTTAAAGTTGCCAAGGTTGAACATCCTTATCTACACAGTCAATAGAATCAGATGGTAGAGATCCAAAGTAGTAGAGCAGACAATACCACCTTATTCTATAAGGTTTTTTTAAAAACATGTATGCCTAATGAAATAAAAGAAAAATCTTCAGGTAGAGATCAATTGAGATGATCAAGAGCCTTTGCTCAACGACAGAGCACAGACATGTTGTGCAAAAGCTCCCAAAGGTTTTATTCCTTTGAATTTCCATTCAAAGGAAAACCAAAAACACTGGGAAGATCCCTGCCAAAGGGAAATGAGCAGAAAGAAATGCTCCATGCCTGAGTTCCTCTCAGCTGCCACCAAACAAAGAGCCTTGGTGGCGCAGCAGACTAAAGTGCTGTTAAGTAGCACTTAGCTGCCAGCTGCCTGCAATTACTGCGAGTTCAAATCTCACCAGGTTCAAGGTTGATTCAGCCTTCCATCCTTCCAAGGTAGGTAAAATGAGGACCTGGATTGTGGGGGCAATAAGCTGACTTTGTATAAAAAAAGAACACCGCTTAGGGGGGGCTGAAAGCCCTACTAAGCAGGTATATACAAAACTATGAAGGCTATTGCTTAACGCATTGTAAGCCGCCCTGAGTCTCCGGAGAAGGGCGGCATATAAATCGAACCAATAAATAAATAAATAAATAAATAAATAAATAAATAAACAAAATGGCAAATGCCATGACAATAACATGACTGGGATAAGGCACCTCCCTTCCTATCTTTTCTCCCAACCGGGTGGGGCACAGATCTCTTTTACTTACAGGTTAAAGTTGTAGAGCTCGTTCTACCATTGTAGGACTCTACCACCCCATTCAGTTGGCTGCGTACATTTGGACTACATTGCATAGGGATTTTCTAGATGCATAAGGATATGGAAGTGTGTGTAAAAATGGGCGGGGAGAAGCAATTCAGCATCATTTCAAAAGTGCATGGGCATGCATGCACCAATAATGGCACAGAAGTGCTGGAGAGGTTAGGAAAGACACAGTGCTTGCAACTTGCAGCAAGGGTCGGGGAGATCAACAAAGGATGCAAGGAAAAGCAGCAGCATTTTGAAATCCCGCCTAGTTCTTACTTCTGCCTTCCTTCCCTATATCAGGGGCCTAAAGACAGAGGTCCCCATCCATTTTTTGAAGAAAGCTGCTAGGTTGGTCCAAATTAGCTGGGAACCACCAACGGACCTCCTTTGGCACAGGAGCGTGAGGACAGTCAGGAAGCAGCCTTTCCAGAAAGGCACTTTCCAAAGGAACAGAAGCCCACATTCATCCTCCCTGAACCCCATCTTCTAAACTGGTTATTTCACGTGCAAACTCCCCCCTGCCTTTCTCCAGCAGCCACAGCCACTTTTTGCAGATATTTCCTTTGGAAGGTGGGATGTAGGCAGTGCTGCTGAGAAGTCACATGCTGTATCATGAAGAACGTGTTTGACGGAACAATTGCTGAGACCCACAAAGCCATCGATGCATTCTGCTGAATGAGACCCTTTGAGAGACTGAGACATGTTGCCCATTAAACACAGAATGAAGCTTGCAATTGGACACCATGCACACCAGGGGAGCTAAGTTGGTCAGATCACCATTTGGAAAGCACACAAAAGCAAAACTATCTTTTTTGAGGGGGTATAATACTGTATGTGCCCAAATCTGGCACAGTCTGCCCCTAAAGCATGCATGTAAATGGGCTCCTTTTACATGCATGGTAAGTTGAGCATAAAGACATCAAAGAACGTGAAAGTTGGACGTTTCCAAAAATGCACCAATGCTTTTGAAAATGCAGCCCATGAGAAATGGTGGCAAAGCATGGAATTTAAAAGAAAATATTCTCTCAACTGGTTTCTAGCCCCCTCCCCGTCGGGTTTTGCATATAAGTCCAAAGACATGCTTAATTTGCCACATTATCATATTGTTTTAATCAAGAACTTTTGTTTGTTGAAGATGAGGAAGGGTGACAATTCTCGTGCTAGTTCATTTTCATTGGATAAATTATGAGTTTTAACTAAAACGATGGCTAGGTGTGTGCAAAATAATACAGTGTGAAATGTATTGACAAATATATTTTCAATTAAAACCTTGTTTACAACGCAAATAAGAATGGCAGCAGGCACAGCAGCACTAGAATGGAGCCAGAAAGATTGAAGATTTGATCCTCAAAGTTCCTCACCATGGCAAGTACTATTGATACAAACAGAACTTATGCTGGTGCAGTTGAACAGGAAGATTAAATCTTTAGAGAGAGAAATAGCGCTGACCTTCAGAAAGCAAAGCAAGCATTACACCTTTCCCCCAAATATTTCTTCTGAATTCATTGAAAAGATGGGCCAACAAGTCCATGTTCACTGAACTTAAATCTTACTCCAGGTGTAACATTTGCCAATCAGATTCTATCGAGTTATACCCGTGTTTTCCCAAAAATAAGACCCTGTCTTATATTTTTTGGAACCCCGAAATAAGCTCTTGGCCTTATTTTCAGGGAGGTCTTATTATTTTGGAGCATGTGGAGGAAACCAGAGGAAATGGCGGGGACCAGCTGTGCATGTGTTTAAATATTTTTGGGGAGAGCTTATTTTCGGGGGGGGGAGGAGGCTTATTTTAGTGCATGAGCTCAAAAGCCCGATTGGGCTTATTATCAGGGGATGTCTTATTTTTAGGGAAACAGGGTAGTTAGGATTACTGTCTTCCGTATGTTTCTTTACACTCACTTCTAAATCGACATTTAAATCAGTGCTGTGTCCTTTTGGTTCATGGGATTGTTGTATAAAGCTATTGGGATTTGGGCTAATCTTACAGCACCAGATACCTTAAAGAACTTTGACCTCTTATTCCCACTCTAGTTTCATCACAGTTCAATGTGGATGATAGGGATTGATGTATGGTGTGGATGTGGATTTATAAACGGAAGATTTTGCTGTTGGCAGACATTGAAATGGTGAATGCCTGATGGTTGCTTTTCAGGTTCCCATTGCACAGAAGTTCTATGGCTGTTCCTGCAACTAAGCATCTACTGCTTCATTAGTAGACACTATCATTATATTGAGCAATAACTAACGAGCTTTTTCACATGGGTTGGAGGGGTGGCCTGCAAAACTGCCATTCCTATAGATTGTGACTATTTTGCCTGGGCTTTGATAGAAACTGGGAAATGTCACAAGAAAAGGAGAAAGCTGTGGCAAGGCAGATGGACTCTAACTTGCATCTAGTAAATTAACTTGGTTGTCAACAAATCCATAGATTGGTTGGAATTCAGAGTGGGGAATTCAGACACGTTAAGAACATGACTGGCTCTGGTGCACTTTTTTGTGTTTATTGAAAACAGCAAAGGAGGAAATAAGGAAACTACCTCATTTGACTGAAGACAAGGAGTTAAATCTGGATTCCTTCTTGTCTTAATCTGAAAGCCTGCTATTTTAGAAGACTCTGCCATGAAAAGGACAATCATTTAAAGTCATATCTATTTTGACTCTTAGATGATTTGTCCAGTTCCATGTGGTCTATCTGTCGTTCCCAACTTGGCATCCTCCAGATGTATTGTGACAACTTCCAAACTGTGCAAGTCCCAACACATCTAGGAACTGGGGATTTAGGGAAGGTTACTCTGGCCTTAAAATATCTCCTTCAGAATCTTTCCATCATATGCTATCTGATCTCTGTCTCTAGATGGAACAGGGATTGAATTTGGGATCTCTGAATGGCAAGCATCTGCTCCACCCTTAAGCTATAGATAAGCTCTAAGCTTCCTAAGTCTGGATGACAGTATTTTAATTAGAGTAAGAACATCCTTTTCCATGAGTGATTTTCAAAGATACATTAATGGCAACCCTGCAGCAGAGAGTTATATAACATGCTTGTCTCTGTGGAATCAAAGTCTCCAATGAAAATATGGAAAAAGTAGTTCAGGTCGGGTGGGGAGCCTAAGATTTGTGAAGAGAATTGGTAAAAGCTAATGCTACCTTCTGCTGTGTTCAGCCTAAGAGCACCCACACAAGCAGCATAAGATGGGAGAAAGTCAACAAGCATAGCCGTAGGTAGCCC